TCAATAATAATCTCAATAATAATCTCAATAATAATCTCAATAATAATCTCAATAATAATCTCAATAATAATTTCAATAATAATCTCAATAATAATCTCAATAATAATCTCAATAATAATCTCAATAATAATCTCAATAATAATTTCAATAATAATTTCAATAATAATTTCAATCATTTCGATGAGACCGATTAACCATCCCTAGATGAAATTACTGGTAACTTTTAATTTTTTTGCCACATGCAAATGATGTGTAACATATATAATGAACGGAATGTTTCATGATATTAATGCAAATCATAACAATGATATTTGAAGATAATTGTTTAATTAAAATATCATCATATATTATCTCATACCGATATATACTAGAACCAGTAGGAAAATTTAGGTAGAACCAGTAGGAAAATTTTAAGATAAAAGACTGCACCTCGGTTTTATAACTCCAATGCCACACAGGCTATCTGTTTACTAAGCAAATAAATAAATAAGTAATTTGCTGAGCTCCTGATTTGCCGATGCTATCTCACATGCCTATTTTTTTTTCCCATTCGGCAGGATGTTATCTCACATGTTGAGGAAAATCTTTTAATCGCCGCGGGATGCTCTATGGTGTACAATTCATTTTTAATTAATGAGGCTTCTATTTAAGAATCTATGAGTTAATTAATTCGTCATTGTTTAACCATTTATACGTATTATGAAGAAACATTATTACTTACGAATCTGATCAATATGCATATTATTTATAAGCAATTTCTATTTGTATCTCTATTTGTACCTCTATTTGTACCGGGTATATATAAAAAAATCCGGTGTAACATAAAATTATCGCTTTTTTTAAAGAATTTTTATATCTTAAATATCGATTATGAGAAGGTTTACTTTTTTTACTTTGTAAAAATTATTGTTACGAAGGACTGCATTTAGTGATCCCAGCTGATAGTAAAGAAATCTGCTAAAGCAAATTATCGGCTTAGTCGGTTGATTTTTAAAGTCGTTTTATTATGATCAAGACGATAAATATTGATTAATTATTATATATTTATAAATCAAACTTTTTAAATTTTATTTAAACACAAACTAAACGTTTAAAAAATAATAAATAAACAACATGTATCTTCAGGGCTGAACCTAATAGATAATAATAATAAACTTGAAATATTCACTTTAAAGTAATCGGGCTGGATGTTACTTTTTATTCATATTATTATTATTATTATTTATTCATTAGTTTAATTTTTTTATTCGCATTTATTTAACTGTTTTTATTTATATTAATCTTAATTGAATTAATTTTATTTTTTTGTTCTCATTAACTTAGTCTTATTTTATTCGAATTAATTTTTTCTTCTTCGCAATTTAGCATTTTCAATTTTTTTCTTTTTCGCATTAATTTATTTTTGTGTCCGGATAACATACGTACGTATAACTTCATGCACGTAGTTTATCAAATTTAGAATTATTTAGAATTTTAGAATTTGGTATATAATATTAGTCTTTTGTTAAATTGGCACAAATTAGATACATTTAATTATGCATGTGACGGAGAACGTTCATAAAACTAGTATGACCTAATACAGTAGTAATTAGTCAAAAAATTATATAAATACCTGTTGCTTCCTTCGAACTGTACTTTATTAAAATCTCAGTTTTAGTATTTTTTAGTATTTACGCGCGTAAAATAATGCCTCAACAAAAAGCACGTAATCACGCAACTGTTGCGTGTGTATTATGTCGTGGAAGACGCAGAAAATGTATTGTACTTTCTGGAGAAAATAAATGTACAAACTGTAATGAACGAAATCTGCGTTGTATTTTTATACCGGGTAATAAACGTGGTCCAAAGACCGCTGCTGATGTATACTTAAATACATTTATTACCAATCCTCCTTTCATTCATGATGAACAAATGTCAAATAATGATCAAAACATCACATCCTCCCATAATTCATTTTCTGCTAGTAATTCTTTCACACATCTTTATAATCATACTACTGTTACTTATGAAGTTACTAATAATAGCACTTATGAAACTACTGAACCTATCGAGACTAATGAAAATTTTCATCACCCCTCGTTATGTTTTCATGATGAACAAATAATACCAACTAATGATCAGAATACATCTTCCTTTTCAACTAACGATTTAAACGGTTCTTTCTATCACGAAATTCCACATCCTTATATTAACCCTTATGATGAGGCTAATGAAGCTCCCCAAAACTGCAAATGCGTACCTATTTGCCAGAATCATTTTCAGCAGTCGGATTGCTTTCATTCTTTTTTTTTATGATTGACGATTAACCAAAAATTGATTAAAAATGTATAGAATGTGACTTTGTTTCTTTCAGATGAATAATTGGACTTTTTTTTTTTTTACGAACTTTCAAAATTCTTTCGCAAATATTCGTTCTTTTTTTTTATTCGTTGCAAACGCAAATATTTCTCAATTTCTCGTTAAAAATATATATGTATATATATTTTTTGTTTCTCGTTAAACTCTTTATTCTTTCGTTTAGTTAAGTTTATTTAGTACAACCGTTGTCTTTATTAAAATAATTTTCGTTTTTTATCACGAAATAATATTACTACTTAAGTACTTTGTATAGCTGAAAATGTTAAGTATATGATTTTCAAAAAGGTCTAATTCGGCATTCATATTGCTGCGGAATTATTTAGATATATATTATGGAATATGCTCCGATCAATTAATTGAAGTTTTAATTTCATTGTACTGTTATAAGGAAATAATTTTTTTAAAATTAATAAAAATTTTGTGTACTGAAATAAAATTAATTTAGAAATTTTATTTGACATTTATACTATATATATACATTGTACTATATCTATATTAGTCAATTAACGCATTGACAAATAACTTGTGTAAAATGAATCTGTGTTATAGAATATTTTAAACATAAAAATTCAAAGAATTTTCAGGTTCTGTGTATAGATTTTAAGCACCGGACAAAATTCCGGACAAAATTTTGAAGCATATCGATATTATATTTAACTATACTTATTGCAAAGAATTTTATATTTTTTACATAAAAATTATGCCAAAATACTTAGCATTATTATCAATATGTAAAATTATTCTAATCTGGTCTGGATTTTCGCAGATCCTATAATTGTATTAAGCCATATACAGGGACGTGGAAAATTTTTGATTTATTTAGATCGATATAAATCGATAATTTTGGGCTAAATTATATGTAAATCGATAATTTTACAAATTTTTATGTTGTGTAACTTTATCTGATATT